GTGATTGCATCATTCTTGCCATTAACATGTGCATAACTTATTTCCATCAAAATCTCTTCACCCCGAAGTGCTTTCCCAACTGAGCGGCAAGCCCCCGTTGCTGCCGTTTGCCTGCAAGTGGTGGGAGATGGCTGCGGTTTTAACAGCACGCAGCGGCCATTTGGAGGCCAAAAAAAGGCGCGGAGTTAAAACAAAGAGCTCTGGGGTTATATATTCTGCTTAGGATATTTAGAAAGTGGTACGGGGACCGTGCCCAGCGCAAAGGTTGAAATGTTGGTCTCTGGAAGAGTCGGCAGCAGGACCGTCGCTGTCTCTGTTAGAGCTGGGGTTTCCTGATGGCTCCGATTCCCAGATGTGCGCTTTTTACCCGCTCGCTCTTCCAGGAAAGTCCCTATAATTAAACTGTATTATATATTAAACTATAACCTGCAAATCTCAGCATGGCAGAGGCAGGAGGAGCAGGAAATCTACTTCAATCGGCTTCTCCTTCTCTTGAGCCTCCCAGGAAGCTTGGGAAGGGAGATGCTGCTGCCGTGGAAAGAGTCCTGTCTCCCCACGTTTTCTCCGTTTGCTGATCTGCCGCCCTACATAAAAATGACGGGGTGGGGTAGGAGGGAGCACGCTGCCCTCTTCTATCCTACGTCTGGCCGGCTCTCTTCAAGAGGTGAGCTCGGGGATAGTGAGCCCTCGGTTCAAGGCACAGGGGGAGGCTGGAGAAAGTGAGGGATAAAAGGAAAGAAAACTTAACTGAAGTCAAGGATGCAGCAAACGAGCCAATAAAAAAATGCAGCTAGGAAAATGCTGACGTGCTTACTATACCAAGTAGTTTCCTACTCCAGGCATTACCCAGGGGGATTGAGGATTACAGATCTGGTAGAAGGATCGCTGTAGCAAGTGAGCCTCTGCATTGCAGGTGATTTCATCCAGAAAATAAAAGCACTGCAGTGATACCGGGGCTGGACTGGAGAAGGTAAGAAATCTCTGTGGTTAGCGGAGTTGAACTGGAGCAGACACCAGACGTGCGGTGCATAACCAACCACCCCTCTGTTCGCAGCGAGGGGAGGAGGACGATAACGGGTTTGCTGAAGTACGAGCGCAGTCGCTCGCCATTTCAACACGGCAGCATTTGTGTGCGGAGTCTGGGTACAATCGTATTGCGGCTGTACTTCCCTAAACAAGCCGAAGAAAAGGGCAGGCAGCGGAGGCAGCAGGTCGCCAGGCTGTTGTTTAACATGCTGGAATGTGCTCTACATCCCAAGGGAAAACCCAGCCGTCCTCTCCCTCAAAAATACACCCTGGAATCATTTTTATCTGTAGCGGATCATGATTTAGTTTATATCACATACGGCAGACCCAGCGGGGGATAAAATTGAGATGGGCGGAGTGAAATAAAGTTTCTCCTAGTAAATTATTAAAACTGTTTCTTCTGCTCAGCCATCACCGAGTTTTCTGTCTGAGTATATGGTGCTGCTTTGTTTGAAAGCTGAGATGAAATTGTCATCTGGAAAAGGATGACAGAATCCCAGGCAGGTTGAGGTTAGAAGGAACCTCTGGAGGTCATCTGGTCCAGAGCCGGTTGCCCGGATGGCTTTTGAGTATCTCCAAGGGTGGTGACTCCACAACTTCTCCGGACAACCTGTGCCAGCGCTCGGTCACCCTCACAGAGAAAAGTGTTTCCTGATGTTCAGAGGGACCCTCCTGTGTTTCAGGTGGTGCCCATGGCCGCTGGTCCTGGCACTGGGCACTGCTGGGAAGAGCCTGGCCCCGTCCTCTTGGCACCCTC